AGTCTCCACCTCCTCGTCCGGATTGAATTTACCGAATATACGCTCGCGTGCCTGCTGATACGCCGCTTGACGCTCCTGAATGCGATAATAATAACAATAATAATAATAATAATATTGAATTACAATAAATAATATTAAACATAATAATAAATAATAATGATAAATAACAATAAAAAAATAAAACACACCTCTAAACTCTTCAGCTTGGCTTGTGTCTGTAGTTGTTGCTGTTGAGTTTCATCAGTTTTTGGCACTTCGGGCCTCGTCGAGGGTGAGGGCAATGTGCCACAACTTTGAGGTCTTCGCAAGATTTTTATTCCGCTCTGCCGATCACCCACTCTAAAAAATATTTATTATTATTATTATTACATTCACTACTTTAGATATTTATTATTATTATATATATACAATATTATTATTATTATTATTATTATTACATCCACTACTTTAGATATTTATTATTATATATACATTATTATTATTACACCTACTACTTTAGATATTTATTATTATATATACATTATTATTATTATTATTATTATTATTACATCTACTACTTTAGATATTTATTATTATATAAACAATATTATTATTGTTACTCGGGCATCGTGTGCTTGTTTTGTGAAAAATTGCTGTGAGCGATCAGCGGAATGTTTCAATTTTGTTAGAGTTATGATTACTTAATGAATTGATTGGTGTTTGGCTACGACGATTAATTATGCAAAGTATTCACGGTGTTAATACCCTACTCTAATTAATTAAGTACCCTCAACTAATTAATTACTCTACTCGGTTGTGTTCGTTCGGTTGGTTGGTTGGTTGGCTTGCTTGAAATTAGCCAGCGGGGTGACATCAGTAAAGGCTAAAACAGTGCGAACGGAGACGTGAGCGTTGTGGTCAGCAACTTGACAAACGTTTCATAGACTACTTGCCAATCCGGGTAATGTATAATAATAATAATAATAATAATAATAATAATAATAAATATAATAAAAAATAATTCAAACGTTGTAATTTGATTCTGTTGCGCTGCAGCAGCTTGTTCGCGTAGAGCTCTCATCTCCTCCTCCTTGTGCTTTTTCTTTAAAAGCTGTTTTTGTCGTTCTTCAACTTGCACAGATACCTTTAATATCATCACAATAATAATAACAGTAATAATAATAACAATAATAATAATAACAATAATAATAATAAATAAATTCAGAATAACAACAACTAAACAAACAACAACCAAAATAACCAGCCTCATCCCCGGCCTCCTCCCAGCTATCCACCACCAGCTGATGATCGCTCGATTCACCCGACCCCGTCTGCTCGCTACAGCTCATCGTGCTCACCTCTCACCCTTTATCACTCTTTTTCTCCTTTTTTATTCCTTTCAACCTAAATTATTCATCTCCTTTTACCAACTAACCATAATAATTTGCTCACAGTAACAATAATAATAATAATAGTAATAATAATAATAATAATAATAATAATAATAATAATAATAATAATAATAATAATAATA